CTATCACACCCACGTGTGATAAAGGCATAGAGAGATGCGTCCGGCAGGATAGATGCATTCAGCAGCAATCATTGATCTCAAACTGCATGTAATTGTACCATGTACAATTACATGTGGTCCATTGCTGACAGATGCGGCTGCTCTCACGCTGTCATACTTGATTAGACATCTGAACTGGATCTTTTGGGATTCCTGCTGCAGGAATCCATAGGTTCTTGCCGCAGGAGTCCCAAAATGCCCATGTGCATGTAGCCCAACAGTCTTTTTTAGAATTACCTTTTTGTGTGTCAGCAACTACTATAGTTGCTGTTTAACTCCTGGTACACCCCTCCATCCTTAAAGTTTTTATTTTTATTTTTTTAACTTTATTTTAAAACTGGTTCGCGTTTTGTGTTTTAGGGTTTATTTTTTGGGAAGAAGGAAGGTTTAATTTATTTTCTTTCATCAAAGGTCCACACCTATCAGGGAACCAGAGGTGTCACCTCTCACCAAAGTTGCCAGATATGGCATAGGGCAAAGGGTCTCCTTCTTACTGGCAGAACTCCTGGCGCCAGGGCCGCGGGTGCGCATGCGTGCAATGCACGGCTGATTCGCGCACATGATGGACAGACTGCGTGCACATGGGGGCGTGTTAGTGCTGTCAGGTGTGGGCCTTGTCAGAGCCCTGTTACCGATTAATTGAAGCTTACCCCTCATTATTTTATGCTTCCCCTCTTTTAATGTATCTTCATCTTTTTCTGTATATATATATACAAAGCTTGTCTTTTATATATTTTGTTAGTCCAATAAAAAGGTATCATTGCACACTGACATATTTTTGTTCATTTGTATTTTTTTAGGCTTGTAGTTGTTGTCTTATATGACTTGCTTGGTGCTGCTGTGGACTGAATTGGTAATGATCATAGCAGCTTCTGAGTGTTTAATTAATTAATTAATCCTCCTGCGACTGTGGGGTGGGTATAGGATATAAATAGAGTGAAGTTTGAACCTCAGTACGTCTGCCTTTCCCTGGACAAAGTCTGTATGACTCCTCTCCTAAGAATCGGTCGACCGTTTTTTTTGCTTGTTTTTTATCCCTTATTAAACTTGATGTGATGTACTTCACTATTGGGTTTTTTTTCTTTTGGGTACGGTGATGGTCCTGTGTGGCATCTTGGAGGAATAGCCTTTCCGTCTATCTGAGGATCGCTCATCATCTTCTTGTGTGCGCTGCCTGACATTCTGATTTATATAAATCATTGAGTTAGGTGAGAAAAAAAATTAAATTGATTAAAAAATTTTTTTTAAATAAAAATGTAAAAAAAATAATATTAAATATTTAAATAAAAAAATAAAAAGGTGATTAAAAAGTAAAAAATAAGAAAATAATTATAAACAATAATACGATAAAAATTATAAAAAAGTAAATTATAAAAAAGTAAAAGTAAAAAGATAAATAAAAAATTAAATTGATTAAAAATAATTAAACACATAAAAATTTACAAAAATAAGAAGAAATAATTGAATAAAAAAATAAAAAAGTAATAAAAATAAAGAAACAGTAAAAAAAATTGAAACTAGCCCCGCCCCAAGGCCAGGTTCCACAATACGCCTCCCCAGCCCCTGCTGCCCTGCCATCTGGTTGCCATTCACAATTTATGGGGTTGGCGGCGCACGTGCGGGGGGGCGGGTAGTGTATTGTGGAACCTGGCCTTCGGGCGGCAAGGAGAGTAAATCCGGCCCTGTCTGCGATGAGTGTTACCGTAGTGAAAAACCTGTCATATTCCTGTGTAAAGGGACAATAACATTGCAGGCATTGTGTAAGCTCCTGAGCTGTCACAGCATTTGCTAGGAACAGCACATGTTTCTGTTAAAACACATGGTAGCATCTACGTTTGAAAACAGCCGCGCAGTGAGGGAAGAGTCAGCCTGTATCCAGCATAGAGTAATGGAGAAATCCAAGCTACCTGTTTTCAGACCTCAGGCACTATAGTCATCAGACCCTGTTTTACCCTCCGCCAAGAAACCCTGTCCTCAGAAACCAGTTCTTCCACTTTACAGCAAGTACCTTAATATTGTATTTTCATCTACGGTTCCTGATTTTACAATGATGAAAGGTGGCAGCAATGGGAAAAAAAACTGTTCTTTCTAAGAAGACTGTCCCTCTACCACGTGGGCTAATAAACCGGTATAAAATTGAATTTGAGCTAAGGGATCAGAATCAGATCAGTTATGGGAGGCAGCAAAAAACACTTTACAGAACGAGTTACTCAGCTCTCAGAGTACAATTCAAGAGATGTCTGAAAAACAGGAGACTATGCAAGGTGACATGAAGACATTAAAACAGCGTTTGAAGAAAAATCTGATTATTTTGAAAGTTCGAAACATTGACCCAGTTGCAGGTGAACAAATCCTAGCTTATGCAGAAGAAGCATGTAAGATCAGGGAAGAGACCAAGACTGCCACAGACAATCTCTTGGCCCGTTCGGCATTTGTCTCCCGAGCACTGTTCAAACCAGCCGAAAATCGTATGATTCTCGGCTGGTTTTCTAACATGCTCCTTAGACAAAAGACGTGCGACCGTACAGTAGAAACGGTTGCACGTCTTCGTTCACTCTGTTCGATTCTCGTACGATCGCGGTATTTCCCGCAATTCTCGTACGAGAATCGAGCAGTGTATGGGCACCTTAAGGTCAGCAGATTAAATTTGAGAGCAATCATCACTGGGGTTCATTAACTCCACAGTTAACCCTTTACACACCCACATAATAGCTGCTACCATGTGTTTTTTTATGGACCTGTGTTATTATTCCACATCAAATACTATGCAACTATGGAACAACAAAAGTCATATTTACAGATAACATGCAAAAATACAAATTGCACTCTAACGAGCCTGCTATGCTTTACATATCCTGGAAAACATAGTGGAAAGAAAATGCTGGGCATGTGTTTTCACAAATCAAGCCACTTCTCAGTCTGCTCAAGGGATGATTGGAACTTCTCCAAGTCAGCCTGGAAAGCTTTCTGCTCTTCTAAAAACAAATTTCTGCTCTCTTCAGCCTGCTTCCACTTTGAATTGATAGACTGGACAAGCCTTTTTTGTTCTCTGGTCTTCAAACTAAAAAGCTTGCCTATTAGCCTTGAAAATGGACAGAATTCAGTAGACTTGCTGCTCCTCTTTAGACTTCAAATAAATTTGCTGTTAATTTGGGCTTCATGCACTTCCAACAGGATTCAACAAACCACCGCCACACACACACACACACAAATGAATCAAACATGGGTAAATTAATCCATATCCATTCCCCACAGGGTAAATTATCTCTCTCTTTTTTGTTTTTTGACACTAGGATAAGAAAAAAATGGTAATAGGTGTCACCAGGACATGAAGACACAGGATGTAACAACATCCCATTAAGTGTTCTTGTTGCTATCTGTGTCTCTATTGGAGAGATTTCATATAACTTCCTGTCTCCATGATACCTTCTCATTCAGACAGGAAGTGAGAGAAAATCTCACCAATGTCAAACAAACCACAAAAAAATGCTGACAGCGGTTGTCACCCTTCCTCACTCTACAAAAAAAACATTTTTGTTGATGTCTGCGTTTCTATCAGAGAGCTATTTCCTATCTCTGTGATACCTAGCCATCCTGACAGAAAATTAGGGGAAACCTCCTCAAAGGTTAAATAGACATCAATAGAGACCTGACAGGAATCCTAACACTTACTCAAGCTGCTTTATAGGAATTCCACATATATTTCTAACATCTACACTTTTATTCTGCCATTACTGTTTCATACCTTCTTTTTTACAACCCTGATAGTGATATACCCTGTAGCGAAAAGCAATATATTTTTGTGTAATTTTTGTTTTAGACTTTAAACCTGGTTTATAGACATGTGCATTCTGATTCGGACAAACCTGCAAATCAAAGAAATTCAGTTGATTCAGTGGTTTGTCCAAATCCGAAGTAACAAATTTATTATATGCCCGAATATACAAAAACTATATTCGGCATACAAAAATTTGTTTGCAGAACACGTGGCGGCCATATGGCGGCGGTCCTGTGCACGCCTGCTGCAAACTTGGAGGCGGAGCGCTTGACATCACATGAAGGTAACGTCACACACTAAACGAGCGGTGGCCATATCGGTCGACGGCGCGTTCTGCACAGGTGCGCCGCCAACATATGGGCGCCGCCATCTTGGTGTATACCAAAATGCACTCAAAGATGGCAGCGTGCAAGCGCAGAACACGCCGGCGGTTGACATGGTCGCTGCTCATTCTGCAGTTTCAGTGTGCAGTTTTGGATTCGGAGCCTCGTTGCCTCAGAATCCGAAACAGCAGAAAAACTTGTTTTCTTTGATGAAACAAATGGAAATAATTTTCATTTACATTTGTTTCCTCAGAAAACACATTTTTTTTTGCTGTGCACATGTCTAACAGACACCTGGTGCAAATCTGCATATTTCCCTTCTATATAAACCCTTACCTATGTACAGGTTTCTCAACAACACAATTTAGCTGCCTCTGTTTAGCCTTAAAAAACATGATTTGTTGCCAGGAGTTTAGGACAGCTTTGGGAAACATAGCTAGAGTTTATTAAAGCTAACTCAAAAATGTTCATTGTTTCAAAAGAACATTATTTCCACTGCATCTAGTGAAAAAGAACTGTCTGCTAGAATTCTCTGTTTAGATTTCTAAACTTGGATCTCTAAATTGCAGAATGAAACAGCTGGAAAAAAAACTGTGTCAATGGAAAAGGTCACACGCTGCTTCTGTTCTGGTGACCTTGCTCTGGTATTATACTGTTGGGTTCCACTATTAAGAAAAGGGCAACAGACTCTTCACACTCAATATGTTCCATCTGTCATAATTATTACAAATGCACTGACCAGGACTAAGCTCAGAGAATTGACTCTTACAGTGAACATGCCATCTGAGCTTCTAACACAGACCCCCTGAGGTTTCAAGAGCCTTTCAGGAAGCGTTCAGAACATAAAGGGCAGCACCTACCAGACACACCACCATATGTGGTCCTACTTCCTTTTCCAACTGCAGGCCATGGTGTTCCGTCCGCCTTCAGCCCCATCAGTCCTGAGACTGTATTAGTTGCAGTTACACCATCTGCACCACCTGTAATGCAGACAATTAATTAACTCTTTGTTACTATACATGCAATAGCGTACCTCTTCTATGCTAAATGCATTGTTATGCAACTCTGTGTAACATTATGGAGTTGATTTACTAAAGAGGTAAAGACTGTTCACTTAGCAAATTAATGTTCACTTTGCAAAGTGAATGTCCACTGGGCTTAATGAATAAGATAACTCTGTGTTCAACTTATTCATCCAATAATTTGCAAGCAAAAATACAGTTTTTGATTTGTGTTAAACTGACAGTACTGTATGAAGCAATTACCCCCTAAGGAGCTGCTGAGCATTTCTGGGCCCTTCTAGCTTTGCAGTCAGTGCACTAACTTACTGCTACCCCAAACATTCAACTCAGCAGTGGTGACCAAATGACTGACATTCACTGCGTTAATCTTTCCTTGTAGATTTGAATGCTCAATGTCCAGTGAAGAGAGAATCAAGGATTACAGGATACCCAAAAATAACAATGTGCCTTAAAGTGGAGACTGGTAATCTTCTATTCTGTGCCTATCAAGTATATTTCCACTTTTGCAGCCAAATTGGGTAACACCTATTTTATATTTGTTATATGGTCTCATTCACATAGCATTCTTTTTTAAATTGCACAAGACATGCTTATTCAGAAAGAAAAGGTGTTCTCTGTACTGAGTTTTGCTCTTGCAAGAGGTAGATTAATGTTAACATAATTAACCCTGTCTGCACTGTGCTGCAGGTCTCATTATCAGTTGTAACTAGATTTAAACAATGTTTTTCCTAATAAAGCTTTTAAGATCAAGCATTGTATGTTAATGAAGGGAAACTCAGCTTGTCCATAGTTTTTCTATGGGGACAGACAACATTTTCCATCATTTGGAAATTGAGAGAGAAGCTTTGAAAGGTTTGCTATACAGACACATCTAAAGGGTAAGAAATGTTTAAAAATATATTTATAGGTATACTGTGTGAATTGGAAACACATAACAAGCATATAGTCGGGTTTTCTCTAGCTTTCATAAAGGTACTTTTCTTTAACAGCTACCTTCTGTCTTTGAGGCCCTAGCATAGACCTATTCCCAATATCTGGGACTTGTTTCTGGACCAATTTCCTTCCAGGCAGCAGGCCTTGAAGGCAAAAGGGCCTCTTGGTTAGCTATCTCCTCCCCACACAGTAGGGAATTCCAACACTACATTCTTTCCAAATGAAGCCTGGGAGGTTGAGGACTCTTCTAGAAAAACTCCCCAAAATGTATCTCCTTCCCCAGTCCAAATCACTGCCAATAAACCTCCTAGTGGTTGGCCAGGATGAAATAATGTCATCTTCCTGCCCTATCTGCCAGAGAGCGCTCTCTGGCAACTGGTAGAAATATGTAATGCCATTAGCTCAGGGTAAAGCCAACAAATTAAAAAAACAAACAATAACAAACGCTCTAGCTGCCCAATAAGTTTGGAACAGGGATTTAAACTTATGGCAGGGTCCCTACATGTACAACATATAACATCCTGATTGGCCCACACTGCTGTCCCTCCTTCTCCCAGTCTGAGTGTTATGCACTCAGTGATGATGTCTTCGTGATCGGCAGTGGCGTGAGGGGGGAGGAAGCACATGATCGAAACTGATATCATTCATTGACATGGTTCCAATGCAGCTGTCCATTTAGTCTTAGCAGGTAAAACAGCCCTATATGTATGTGTATATATATATATA